ATCACCCGAAGACGATTGTAGATACCAACAATCGAAACGTCGTGAACTAACGTGGCTTGGAATCTCTTAACTTTGTATTTTTATTTTCTTTTTTCATTTCTTTATTTTTATTTAATTTTTGTTCAATTGTTCTATTTTTACTTGTATTTTATTTCACTGTTATTTCATTTCAGGTTTTTGCTTAATATAATTTTTATTTTCAGCTATTCATTTTTTTATTCTTCTCTTTTAGGTGTCTCAGGGATTTCAAATCATTTTATATATTAGACAATGGAAGTCCGAACTAGTGAAATTCATCATGAAACATTGTCAATCACCTTCAAACAAATATCAATTTATGTTTAAGGACCTATGTACATGTTGGCACCATATAGAAGTTTACTTCTATACTATATGGTTTTAGTAATATCTTCTTTTGTTTTTGTTTCAATTATGTATCTTAGGGTGAGTTTTCTCACTCTATGTCGGTAGCCAGGTGGTTCGACGTGGTTGCTTTGTTCACTCACTCGAATTGATTGCCGGGTTGGTCCGTGGTTCAAGCCCTAGTCTGAACGATCGTGTTTCACTTGCTATCGTCCAACCCGTGTTAGGAATCACACGTTAAAAGGTAATACCTCGTTAATCCTTAGCTCGCACAAGTTTCGACTTCTGAGGATTGTCGTTCGTAGGGGTGCGACAGCTTGTTAACGGAAAACCAGATTTTCAAACAGAGAGAACAGTTGTGTAATTTGGTTTTTTAAATCATTTTAACCAAACTTTGTCAATAAAATGAATCTTCTGACAATAAAGCATATTTCACTTTGACTTTTGTGCTTGAGTGTCATTAACGAAAAGAGACCTCGCGAAGGGGTATAGGATTGATAGTAATATAAAAAATGATATACTAAATATTCGGGGAAAAATAATTCCAATAATACTTTGTGATGGAATTATTGAGCATGATTTTATTATTATTATAGATTTTGATATGATTCTAGGTGAAAGTTGATTAGGGAAGCGGTTCATGTACCTACTTATCAGAAGAGAAAGTTGAGAAATTGATATAAAAAATACACGTCTGAGAATTATATACAATTCAATAAAGTAATGGAAGGTTGTAGATGAATTGAATGGGAAGCGAGCTCAAGGTCGCTGCCAACCATCGAGAGGTTTCCGTTATTCGAGTAGTTGGCAGCCTCTCTGATAACAAGGACATCTCAGAACATTATCAATTGAGTTACAAACACTACAGGTTAGGAACTAGGCCAGTTCCAGCATATCGGAATAATAGAAAGTAATTGAGAAAAAAACATGAGAGCTTCGATAAAGCAAGGGTAGGAAAATAAGATGAAGAAAGAATAGAGTATAGAATGAAGGTAATGCTCCAGCTCAGATGGTCGATACAGAGAGCCGAGATTTTGTAAAGGCGATCAGACATCCGAGGAGATTCTGATATCAATAATCCAGCTACTGTGAGTATATCATAATGTTCCCCAGAAACGTTGAAGTTTGCATGGCAAAGCTAAAGAAGAAAATACTTGCATAATCGCAGACGATGTAAATGATTAAAAGAGAAAGAATCAAGTCAAGTGTTTTAAGTAGTTTCACTGTTTGTAAAAATAATTGAGGAATTCCCATACAAGTAATAAATATATTGGAATTGGATTCATCAATTCAGAGAAAAACGATAATTGCATGACATTACGAAGCGGAGACATAGAATTTAATGTATAGAGAATATGTGAGAATATGGAATGTCAGTATTTCAGAAGAGCAATTGTCCTTAGGTCAACCACAAGAAAATGATATGAAGTCTAGTAAAGCTAATACCTAAAGCGCTAAGTCAAAAATTAACTTGTACACAAAGTGAAGCATAGAATCATTACTGAATATATTTCATCGGTCGCTAAGAAACTTATAGAATTTCCCATCAAAGGCAAACTATAAAAAAAAAGGAAATACAAGATTTGTCAGAAATGGGATATTTATAGCTATTTTAGTACAAAAGAGTCTAGGGAAGATGAGTCCCAATTTCGACTTTGCATTGTTTACATGAGTCTTGGCGTCATAATTATGCTGTTATTTTCAGCTATTCATTTTTTATTGTTCTTTTTTAGTTGTTTCAGGGATTTCAAATCATTTTATATAGTAGACAATGGAAGTCCGAACTAGTGAAAAAAATAATGGCTAACCACCGTGTTAGGAATCACACTTTAAAAGGTAAGACCTTGTTAGTCCTTAGCTCACACAAGTTTCTTAAGTTCTGAGAGTTGTTGTTCGCATGGGGGCGACAGCTGATTAACGGAAAAACACATTTTTAAGCAGAAACCACCATTGTACGCACGTGAGGGCAATGCATAGTCATGATGTTGACAATGATGGTCAAACACTTCTAACACATGTATTCTGTATCAGAATCCCAACCAGTGCAAGCAGAGAGAGCTCACAGGAAGTGTACCGGTAACATACCTCGTTGTTTTGTCCGAATTCTCCGTATATAAGACAATGGTTTTTTTGAGTACCTACTCATCATCAACATCTACGTCAGTCAATGACGAGTCATTGTCTTTCTGTCTTTCTTCCCATTAAGCCTTTTTAATACTTTCCCTGTTCTCTTTGGTTTTTTCCCTTCCCTTTGCCTGCTTGTTTTCCTTTTTTTAAGATCATGTTCAGCTTTTTGTTTTCCTTTTCTATAAGACTGTCTTTAATTGGCGTGGAGGCCAGAATGGTAGAATGTTGCTTATTTCGTCCTTGTCGTGTACTTACAGATAATGTTTTGGTAGGAAAATTGATACTTTTTTAAAAATAAAGAGTAGTCGAGATCGAGCAGCAAACAAGCGTGGTTGTTTTATTCCCGTTTCCCTCTATGCTCAACAGCTATTGTATAGCGAAACACGTGTCGCGGTTTTTTTAAAACCCTTTATAGTAAAAATCATTCAATACACTGTATTAATTAGTTTTGATATGGATTTTCATCAAGTATCGACCAGTTCTATTCAATCAATAGAAAGTTTAGAACTTTGACTTAGAATTGTAGGTACCTTTTCTTACTACAAAAAGATGTCGAAGATATGCTATTCATTTTTCTGTCAGTGAAAAAGTTAGTAAGTAGTTATTAACTCATAATATTGCAGAGCAGCATTGACACTTACACTTTTTCACTGGCACATAAAAATAAATAGCATATCTGGGCCTTTTTTGTGTAGTGAAAGAGGTACACTTCATGTCAACGTTCAAAAAAATGTCACTTCATGTTAAGATTTCCCAGATAAATGAAGTAAAATATGGAATGTAAAAAAATACATGGATTAGTGATAATTTTTCTAGTGTCCGACCGAAACTAGTTTTTACGACCGAAAACGAATTTCGGCAACGGTCTCAGTTTCGGCCGAAACCGAAACTTCCTTACAAGGATTATGTTTTGGGGTAAAAAAACAAGAAAACGTTATTATAATCAAGTCTTTATTGTTTTATCTTTAAATCACAACATTATGGAGTCTTCGACATTATAATCAACATAACAAACCCTTACTTAAGAAAAAATATTAATTGCACCTTGAAAATACTTAAAATCCTTCTTTTGAATATTATTGATAGTTTTTCAAAAATATTAAACATAAAATTACTTATTTAAGTTGTTACCTACTATTACAATAGGTATTTAATATTTATGTAATAAACAAAGTAATTCACGAGTCATGACATGATTAGGCACGTGACAAGGCAAAATGTCTTCGTGGCTTGTATGAAATTCAACGCGCCAAACATGACCGATCATAACGCGGGAACTCCCGAATGCAGTTTCGGTCGTAGTTTCGGCAAGTTTGCCG